AAAAGAAAAAATTCTTTTATTATTTTACTACATGCTGTACATGCTACAACTGTAGTAACCATGTTACTACAGTTTTGAAAATTAGTAGTGACCAGTTGGTTAGTTTCTCCAACGATGCATTTTACTATGGTAGTTAATCAGCGAATTACATCATTGTATGGGAAACGCACCCCGGATCGATCTGAACCAACTTTGCAAGGACAACTTGAGCAGAAAGTTTCACGGTGAAAAAGTGTTTTGTTTGTTTGTTTGTTTGTTTGTTTTTTGTTTTTTTACCAAGCAAACGTTTGGAGTGGACTGCTGTTTGTTTGTTTTTTTGTTTGTTTTTTGTTTTTACCAAGCAAACTTTTGGAGTGTACTGCTCAGGAAAAATGATAACGTTTAGTTATGGTTGTAACCTTGGTTCTCTGAGGGATATAAGTGAAACATCTCACTGTGGGAAAGGCCTCTTGCATGCCCATCCGTGAAGCCCTATGTAATCTCGCCTATCAGGCCAGCGCTCCCGGGAAGCCCCTCCCCAACCTATATAAACAGCAGTGCTGGCCCAAAATAGCATATTTTACAGCTCTTCCAAGCAGAATAATGGGCCTTCTGATGACATATCTCACTCATCTCCCTCAGAGAACCGAAGTTACAACCATAACCATATATATATATATATAGGGTTTGCAAATCCCACAAAGAGACTTTCAGATCGTTTCAAATTTTGTGTCCTATCCAGATATATCCGCAATGCCCTCACTTGACATAAGTGCTGCCAATTTTCCTCCCCTGGATATTTTGACAGAGGAGGGTAAAGGGCTTGAACCTCAACTTCCATACATGAATAGCCAGGCTTGGTTATCTTGGGCATAAATGCTAGCACAAGATGACCCTGGAAAAAAATTAGGATGAACCTAATACATGCAGGGTTAACTGAAAATGCATGTAATTCTCCAACCTGCTTCATAGAGGTCAGAGCAATCAGTACAACTGTCTTGTATGAAGCAATCTTCATACCTGCTTCCTCAAAGGTTCAAACGGGGGTTCCTTGAGTGCTTTCAGTACCAAGCACAGATCCCATGCTGGTAAAATAGGTCTGAGAGAACTGGTCTCAGATGGCACACACCCCTCAAGAATGTACTTACGATAGGATGCTTACCAACCATTTCACCATTAAATCCCATGTTACATGATGAAATGGCCGCCAGCTACACTTTGATCGTAGAGAAGGCCTACCCTTCATCTAGTATCTCCTGAAGGAAGGTAAGAATATCCGGTAATGAGGAAAGGAACGGTATCTTTTGCCTTTCCTTTTGCCCCAATGGTATCAATGCCACTTCCACACATTTCGTGAAAATGCGGGGTGCTAGAGAAAGGCCAAATGGGAGAAGACTAAACTCATGCATCTTGCCTTTGAATCAAACCTCAGATATTCTCTGTGCTGGGGATTGATCTGGATGTGAAAATATGCATCATTTAGATCAATTGAGGTGAACCAATCTCAACTCTCTACAGAATGAAGCAGGGATTTGAGTGTCAGCATTCTGAACTTATTTCCTCAGATATCTGTTTAAAACTATGAGGTCCAGAATAAGGCGTATATCTAACGCTTTCTTTTGAATGAAAAAATACTATCTGAAGACCACCTTCTTTGATCCCTCTTCTGGTACCACCTGCTTCTTTGAGAAGGAGAAAATCCTCTCCCAAACTTTTGCATTATCTCTTTGAAATATCGGCTGTTTCTTTCTGTCCCGCGCAATAAAAGGGGATAGGGGCGGGGCCTCTGCCGCCTGAGCGCAGGACTTTCATTGCCAGGAGGGAGGTTGTTTTTCCTGGTCATAAAAAGTCTTAACATTTTCCCCCTGTGAGGATCTATTTCCCCTCCTCGGGCCCTGCCAAAATGATTGTCCTCCTGCTGCTCCCACTTGTGTAAAAGCAGGACGACGTGTTGCCTGTCGTTGCATTGGTTTGGGGGCTCTGCAAGGCATGAACGAACTGAAGGCTTCCCTCTTCTTTGCCTCGAACCGCTGCTGCATTGTAGCCAAAGCTGGCCGGAACAGACCTTTAGGGTCTACAGGCTGATCAAGGAAGTCAGCCTTATGATTTACTGCCATTGTGGATAAATTCAGCCAAAGCACTCTCTGACCAACCAGCGCCAGTCCCAGAGTCCCCAATGTGGACTGTGCCAGGCAGCATGGAAAGGCAGAATTAGGTCTGTCAAGGTGTGGATTTCCATCTACAGCTTAGTGACAAGCTTTTCCCTGTGACAAAGCCCCTAACATCTCCTCCTCTAACTCAGCGATGTAAGCCAAAAGAAGAGTGATCGCGTAGTATGCCCCGTCAGATCTGAAGATTAATTAATTAAGGATAATCCGAACGAGGGTTCAGATGGCCTGCCAACGAGGCCTCATAGGCAGCATGTGAGACCAGCCCATATCCTGCAAACCCGCCATGTCTAGCAAGGAAAACCCATACACCGGGACTCTGGATGACAGTGGTCCATCCATGCAACAGCTGAAGGCCAGTCAATGACCAACCGGTTCGCCGCCAGAAGGGCAAGCCTCATGCAGAGTTTCACACCCTGTTGCCATCTGCCATTTGTCTACCCCTGTTGGGTAACCAGGGGACAGACTCCATTTGGGGAACAAACGGATCTTCCTCGTCCTCCTTGCCCTTGTCTGGCAGGTGTCTGTAATATCTGTTTTGGCATGCTCTGGACCCAGAAATGCCAGGCATACCACATGCAGATCCCTAGCTGCAATAGAGAATCCACATCCCCCTGGACAAGTGCAAAAAGGTGCTCTGGACTTAATAGATTTCATAGAAGATGCCATGTTAAACTGGTAAGTTAACCTTTTATCTATTTTATTTGCTTGGAAAAGCATTTCACTACACTTCTTGCTTTATTGAATCCCTACGGCAAGTGGTAGCTTGTCTTTTTTTGGACAGTTTAGTCTTGCCAAACTAACAAATGTACTGAAAAAGAGCTTGTAGCTTGGATGCCACAAGTGAAGAGATATACTGTAGGATGCCATTTTGGGCCAGTGCTGCTGGCCTGATAGGCGTGATTGCATAGGGCTTCACGGATGGCCAAGTAAGAGGCGTTTCCCATAGTGAGATGTTGACAGAAAGAGTATACCACTGATTCCTAATTAACAGTTTTCAGAAGGCCAAACAAAGGGATTGTGCCTTCGCATCGAAACACTGTCTAGGCAACATGGTGACAACACTACAATTAACTGAAGCTTTAAGTTACTTATTTTTGCATATGCCTTTGGGGGGGGGGCATTTTGCTAATATTTCACATTATAACGTAGCTGTTTGCTGTAATATCTGGACTTTGATCGAGGCATTTTAGGCAAGTCTGGATGAGTGTTCTCTGTTAGTAAATCCCTTTGTGGGAGACTATGAGCTCTGAAACTTTGCAGATCTTATACATGCACGTGTAGATACATTACAAAGTAAAGGAAAAGGAAACATTAAAAAGCATCATATGACCCCTTTAAGATAAGACATCATTTTTAATTGCAACTTAATTAAATACAAAAATAATAATAAATAAACAAACTAATAAATTAATTAATAAATGTTTAAAAAAATCAATGTTTAGATCCACAACAAATTATGAATTATTCTTATGTTATACTCCACATGCCAATTAACCAACCCCAAATCAAGTATACCATCAATCCACATTTGCAATCTATTCTTAAATTAGTTGATCCATATATCATATTTTATCACAGGTTTCCAAATCTTATAAAAACATATAAATGGCTTGTTTTTGACTGATCAAATAAGCATTTGTCTTTACCTTGACAGGTTTGACTTTTTAATGCCTTGATTAAATCATTGTGGTTCAAGAGGGGATCATTTGTGTGACAGCATCAAATTATGACCCCAAAACAACCCTGTTTGGAACCCTGTACCAACCAACCCTGGTATCTCCTATAAATGTTTGGAAGAAATATCCAAACAGGTCAAACACTGATATCTCACTCAATGTGGCCCAGTTAAAGCAGATCCACTCTTAAATGGACTTTTTTTATAAGCTAAATGCATTTTCAACCTTTCTGTATTTTTATTTAGACATGTTTAATATTAAGCCATTATTAAACTGTTAGCTGCTCTACACCATGTAGGCGATTCTTTTTGGTCCCCACCTAAAGAACACATTCATTCACAATGTAGAACAACAGGATATTTGCAGATGCTCTTCCTGTATTTTCAGGACCAGCAAACCTCAGCATCTAAAATCAGCCCATGCTGCTGTGGACAGTTGTAATGCTCCTTTGCATTGGTTGATTTATGGCGCCTACTGTGCCATATCTCAAAACATGAATAGTCCCAAGATTAGATACGCTTGTATGTTATAGATATTTCATGCAGTTAAATGATGCATGTAATGATATTCCGTTATGTCAGGAAACAGATCTGGTTTAAGCATGTTAGGTGTGTTTTAAAGACAATAGAGTGCTGCAATCTCGTGTAGAGCTGCAGTATCCATCAGCGCGCGCCTACACACTTCCCTGCGTTACTGCTGGGCACTCACGTGCGGTTGATCACATTACATCACACATACAGTTCACAAAAGTCAAGCCAAAGTAGTGTATTGTCATTTTTTGCCTATTAGACACATGCAATGAGTAGCGCATACAAAAAAGTCTCAAATTATAAACACTAACAATATGAATAGCATATGGGTTATTTGAAAACATTGAGGTATAGATAACGCAACGGCTTAAAAAATGGGTAGAATAAAAAGGAAGATCTAAAACAGCTAAAAGTAAGATCTACCACCATTTAACCACATTTTAAAAAGATGTTCTAATGCTTGGTGTAAAAGTTCCATACGATGTATTTTGGATGTAAAGAAATCAATTTATGAGCAAGCTTGGCTATTTTTTTTTTTTTTTCAACAAAATCATTGTTCACCTCATTTCCTTGAGCTGAATCTCAAAGACTCGCGTGAGAAATACAGTAGACGCTAGTATAGGATAGATGAGATGTCGCCTTACCGTCAGAAGCCTGTGTGCTGTGTAATAAAAGTAGAAATATTGCTAAAGATGAGAGTTTAGTGCTCCGCATTCCTCCAGACGCGTGTGTGCAAAAGCATCCTATTCTCCTCTCTCCGGAGCGCAAAATTCTGCAGCTCAATCTGTGCAAATCTCGCCAGATTCCCGCGACACGACCAGCCATTTGTGTTTGCAGAGGAGGTGGCCCGATATCGGTTCTGGACCAGACATCTGCTCAGACCCGTGAGTCAGTGGGACGTGCGGTGGTCACGCCGCTCCAAGTGCCAGAGCAGAGCTGCATTCGTGGAAATGCCCATAGTCCACCATCACTGCGACACTGGGGAAGCGAGAGAGGTCTGCATTTTTTTTACTGGTTTATCTATTGCTCACACTCCTATTTAACGCCCAAAATGTGATCGGATGTTGGAAGGGATGCATGTAATTTTGTCTGTTGTTTAGTGAAGCTGTCTAATGAAAAAGAGCTCGCATGCAGGGAAGCGAAGCTGTAGTTTTGTGCCATGTGCATGCTCTAGTGGTCAATGGAGTATATTACCATTCGACTGGTTTATAATACAACGGTTTCCAATAAAAACGAACAAAACATAAACATACTTTGAAAACACTTGTGTATAGTTCTGGTTGACTGCTCTTCAGGTCTATATCCTCCTACGAAAAAGGTGTGTTTAATCAAGTGTGCTATTAGTATACTATTTTTAAAACTAAAAAATAAGAAAGTATACTTTCAGTCTACTTTTTATGCACTTCTCAGAAATATACTTTATGTACTTCTCAGAATAGCCTACTTGACTTATACTGACAGAAAAGTCTCAGTACATTTGGCCTACTACTACATTTTTTGATCGAGATATAGGGCCTTTCCGAATACCCGCACATGCGGTCTTTGCACTTGACCACTTTTACATGATGTAGGCTATTTCCTGTATTTGGCCCAAGGGTTCAAGTAGGCGCGAAGACTGCAAGTTTGTGTAGAACGTTTGATTACCCGATGGGACACACTTATAGTGTTGCAAAAATGCAAGTGTTTTTTTAAAGAGCTTTATTTTGATTTGCAATACTTCCCTATGTCCCTATGTAACAGAAGACAAACACAATTTAAAATTGTGGTGCTTCTAATTAGGTGATAAAAAGCAGTTGCAAATGTTATACAAAATAGACATAGCCTACTCATCTTTGCACCAATAAAATGACACTTTAACTATTTGTTTTACTACCAAATTACATGTAATATCTCATTTTTCGCACAGGATTTCCCGAAACTAATGCATGATGGGATATGCTTAGACTCAAATAAGCATCCCGTACCTCGCTCCGATGCGGTATTTAAGATAGTGTGGGTTTAGTGTGCGTTCAGGGCACTACACTTTGCCATTTTTTGGACATGGGACAGTCTTGCGCAATTACTTCCTGTCGCGTACACTCGCTCTCAAGTGGCCAAGGGAAAATTTGTGAGGGGAACGCAAGCGAGGGGAATTTGGAAAGGCCCATACTTAAAAATAGAATTAAGTATTCAAAGTATACTTGGCGCGTTACTGAATGAAATGTCAACCCAGGTAGAGTTAACGACTGTGAAGCTTTGGGGATGTTGATGGATCAATCTATTCCATCTATGTTTTGATCATCATAGTATTTGACAAAAATGCTAATTTCTCAGCTTTTTGTTTAAAATGTTGCTTTTTTTATGAAACTTGCACACATTCAAGCGTTGATAAAAAAAAGGATGCATGAAGCTAGAATAAAAAAATATATATTTTCAAGTATAAAAAATAATACCTAAATAGGAATATACCCTAGTGAAAAAATAGTATACTTAAGCACAATTTATTCGTATGTACTTTAGTATAACTAAATGTATTTGTGGCCCACTATAAATTGGAATACTTAAAGTCTGTTAAATTGGAAAACTAATTTTGTACTAAATGCATTTTAGTTGTCCAAAAGCAGTGCTGAAGTTCAACTAAAGTTGTATTTAATATACGTGTTTGTGCTAAAGTGGAACTATTTCAAGTACTTAAGTACACTTTAAATATACTCTTGTATTTAAAGGTGTTATATGTAGTTTTTAGCGGCCTCTAGCGGTGATGTTTCAGATTGCAACAAGAGCGCTCGTGCTCGTGTGCGTGCTCGAACTCAAGAGCGAGCACTCACTACCGGCCACACTGAGACTTTCAACACAACGGAGAAAGCATCAGACAACATGATGGAAACTCATGTAAACTCCCACTGCAACGTTACAATAATAGGCTACTTTTATCAGCTTGACGTTGAACTAATGCTCCATGCTCGTACCATGATAATGTTACATTGACTTAATTTAGCCGACACGTGGTGTTATCTAGCATAAGGCATTTCACTAACTATTCGTGTATCTAAAACAAAGCGGAGGTCTCTCCATAATTCAAACGCTCTGCCGATGTTGATCCGTGTTTTCGTCCTGAGTCGATCCGATTGACGTTTGGCCTGACGAGCTCTAGCTTCCACTGAAGGCGAGGAGGATTCGGAGGATCCTGGATCTGGGTGGATTGGGAGAAACGGCAAAGTGTGGTTTTCCACCAACGCGGAGAAAACTCCCTTTCTTCAGCCTGCCAGAGGCGTGACTCCAGGGCCGACGCGCTATACCATCGCAAGGGTCCAGAACATGGATTCTGTGTTCAATCTGTTTTTTAAGGGGGAGATGATTGACCTCATTGTCAGCATGACCAACCTCCATGGGCGCCACACAATGAGAAACTGGACCGGGGTGGACTCCACAGATCTCCGTGCCTACATGGGGCTACTGATTTTGGCCGGCGTCTACAGGTCCAGAGGGGAGTCCACACGTTGACTGTGGAATGATCGATGTTTAGAGCCACCATGTCCCTCTCAAGATTCTCCCAATCCACCCAGATCCAGGATCCTCCGAATCCTCCTCGCCTTCAGTGGAAGCTAGAGAGGATGATGAGGGTGCCACATCCAAATCAGGATCTGACTCTCCTGAGCCTGTGGTGTCAGAGGGAGAAGACAATACATCCTGCAGCTCACTGGAGGGGTCAGGCTGCATAATCATCTCTAAAACTTCACTACTAAAGCCCTTTCTCATGTTGCTTGCTGCTCTTCTCACCATCAAATGACCAGCAGGCTTGCATGCAAGTGTTTAAATCCACTTGCTTTGTTTTTGTTTAGTCTGCATTTCTCACCATCAAAAGGCAGCAGATGCATAAATACACTTAATTTGTTTTTGTTTACTCCATGTAGTTCTGAGAGCTGAGGTGCATATTTTGATTTTCTCAGACGCATAAAGGTGAGTTCTCACACTCTCTCTCTCTCTCTCTCTTTCTCTCTCTCTCACACACACACACACACACACACTTTAATATGCTATTATACTTCATATAACTCCATGTAAAAGCCAGAAACTAAGCTTTTTTTTTTCTTTTTTTTTTGCACAGGCCTATCTAAAGGGTTAATGGTGCCACCTGGTTATCAACAGTAAAAATTTAAAATTTTACCTCTTGGCTTTGCAATCAAAAAATGTGGTTATAATGGAAGTCAATGGGGCAAAAACAGCCACGAACAGTAAATGAGGGAGAAAAAGTTAAAATCTGATGCTGCTACAACTAACAACTACACACTACCAATGCATCAAAACCAAAGCCATGTCCAAGACTGTGATAAAAGGTAAAAAAAAATCCAGTCCACAATCACATTTTATATTGAAAATAAGTCATTTTGTGTGTTTTTTCCCCCAAATCAGTGACATCATTTATGAATTTGGCAATTAAAGAGTTAAAATCCTGATTTTTTAAAAAAACATTTAGTAGTTTTGATCAGGACTGAGGTTGATTAATAGATTTATGCAAAAAAAAAAAAAAAAAATTATCTGATACATTTTTACAGCAGTTTAAAGTAGTGGCTGTTTTCAGCCACGAACATAACGAAAGGGTAGTGAATTTGAACAATGCACAAGGGTTAACTATTACATTGTAATTACATGTACAATCAAGGCATCAGATGAATGCTTATCTTCCACTCTTTTGAAAGGTGTGCTCAGTTTGTTTCTAGCATAAAGTATCAGGGAGATATGGCTCAGGATTCATGAATATAATTAAACCTTTCTAGCATGTGTGGGTGATTGCGGGGAGTTAAAGCAGAATTTGAGGTAGCATTGTTTTGACCCTAATTACAAGTTTCCAGCAGCTTGTTGACCGGGTTGTCCACCCAGGTTGTGATCCTCAGACATCATAGATTTCATTTTTATATGACAACCTTTTACAACAGCCCATGTCTGCTAAACCCCCTTTGCCCCCCTGGGTACCCTGTATTAGGCATAAGATCAATTCTGCCCTACAAAGCAAAAAGGCAGTAACTGCATTTTTGGTCAAAATTTAGTTATTATCATTTTCATGACATTCAAAGCATCCTTTGTTATGTACAACATCTTATCTCAAATGTGTGTCGTTTTGGAGAAAAATGGTAGTCGTTTGTACAGTAACTGCAAAAAGCCCTAGTGAAACAAAGCAAGAGTACAGTAACATCCATTACTGTATTCTTGTTATGTTTTACCTAACAAAAAATAACCGTGTTTCTGTGTGCAGTGTAGTTACTGTTGCCATGGTGAACACACAGCTGATTGGCATCCTCAAGGGACGATTTTAACATTTGCGATTTCACCCTTCTAACTTCACACCAATTTTGTTTGAGATGCAGTGTTTCCCCTAATTGTTCCCCTACCAAACTACTCCAGCACTAACCCATTCACGGCTGGCATGGAGCGAACTTTAGCCGCGGATGGAGCTTTTGTTCATGGCCGGATGCCGTCTTTCAACCTAGCTTTGCCCCCCACACCACCGCCATCACGGTTGACTAACCCGTTCCTATTGCCCGTGGAACCACAGAATACAACAGATGGTGAGTCCATGTACTTTTATCAGCAAACCTGTGACTGTTCAACGCATATGACAGCCAGCCCTGTAGCAGTTTTACCGCACGGTTTTAAAAATAGCCCCGCCCCAACGGTTGCCCGACGCGCCATTAATCAGCTAGCTAACCCGTTCACTTCCATGAACTGTACGGTACAAAACCCTTTCTCCCAGCCCCATGCATTGGCCTCTCACTTCACATCGACACCTTTTCCACTCTGCACACCCGGCCCGTGGAACGTTGTGGAGCAATGAGCTACAATGATAACTATGCCCCGCACCGTAATCGATACCAATACGGTCAGTCAGCTGTGGAAAGGGCCAAGTCGGCCCCACGCACAGCGGCGGATGTTGAAATAGTGGACGTTAGTGACGATGAACATTATGGATATCAAGAGAGAATTCCAATATTAAAGCCAGGCCATTTTGATGGAACTGGCTCCTGGAAAGACTTTATTCATCGGTTTGAAAGCTGTGCAAGGGCAAACCATTGGTCGGAAACGACAATGGCGGTTCAACTGAGATTCAGCCTGACTGGCGCGGCTGGAGCTATCATCCATAAAAACCCCAGGTCTGACCGCTGGAGCTACC